TAAAAGTTACATGTATGAAAAAAACATGAAAGTTGCACATATGAATGTGATGGAGAAATTACAATACATTATCAGAAGAACTTTTAAAAGGCTTGATTGAAGACATATATGTTTATGTATGGAATGACACTAATGTAAAGATGGCAATTCTGTTGAAATTAATCTATAAATTTATTGCAATTTCAATAAAAATCCCAATAGAGTAGTTCAAGGAAATAATAAATAAAAAAAAAAAATCCCTTGACAGTGCAGAGTCCAAGAAAAGCTAAGCCAGTGTTGAAGAAGAGCAACGTGGGCTTGATCATCAAAACTGTGTGGTATGGGACAAGAATGGGTGGGCCAGTGAAAGAGAACACAGAGCCTAGAAACATCCGTGTAAGTCTTTTTTTTTTTTTTTTTTTTGAGATGGAGTCTTTCTCTGTCGCCCAGGCTGGAGTGCAGTGGCATGATCTTGGCTCACTGCAACCTCCGCCTCCTGGGTTCAGGCGATTCTCCTGCCTCAGCCTCATGAGTAGCTGGGATTACAGGTGTGACCACCACGCCCAAAAATACAATAATTTTTGTACTTTTAGTACAGACAGGGTTTTGCCATGGTTTCACCATGTTGGTCAGGCTGGACTTGGGCTACTCACCTTGTGATCCGCCCGCCCCGGCCTCCCAAAGTGCTAGGATTATAGGCGTGAGCTACTGTGCCCGGTCCACAACTTATTTTCAAATAAAGCCCAATTAAATTTAAAAGACATGTCTCATGGTAGGAGATATTTCCACCTCACATAATCTACAAAGATACTATCCAGAATTCATCAAGATCTCCTATACAAGAAAAAGAAATATCCCAATGGAACAATGGGCAATGGACATGAGCCAGGAAATTGCAAAAGAGAGCAAAGTGGCCAACAAGAAAAGATGCTCAATCTTAACGCAATTGGCAAAATGCAGAGACAGATCATCCCCAATGGCTATTACATAGCAGTTAAACGAACTAGAGCTATAAATCCCCAAAACAATGTTGAGTGAAAATAAGCTGTAAGTTGGCACCATGTATGCCATATTTGAAACAGGTGAAAGCATGTGACTTCTTTTATTTTTTGAGACAGGGTCTCACTCTGTTGCCTATTCTGGAGTGCCGTGGTGCCATGATAGCTCACTGCAGTCTCAAACTCCTGGGATCTAGCAACCCTCCTGCCTCAGTCTCCTGCGTAGTAGGACCATGGGCATGTGCCATCATGTTCTGCTAATTTTTTGATTTTTTATAGGGATGGGATCTCACCACGTTGCCCAGGCTGGTTTCAAACTGCTCGGCTCAAGCAGCCCTCCCACAGCATGTTACACATTTTAAATAAATACTTGTCTATCTAGTGATGGCAACAGTACCATGCTTGGGAAAGAAACCCCAAGCTTTGGATAGCAGTTCCAGCACAGTTGTATACCAAGCCAACTTATACTGGCTTGCCTGAGCCAATTCTGCTCATCTCTTCTTAACTCCGTGTTCAGCGATGTTGTGTTAGTAACTTGAAATCTGCTGTGATGGGTGTTTATACCACAGAAATCAGCACAAATTCCAGATCCTAGCTTCCCCTTCCCCACGCTGGAGAACTGGTTTACCAACACACCAGTGTGCCATTCTCCACAGAGCGGCATGTGACTAGGAAGGGTATGTGAGTGGATTCAACATTATTTGTAATGCCTTTATGCATCCAACAAATTTTAAAGCAAATATAGCCCAAAGACAGGAGTAATATGATAAATGAGCCATGCCTAACTCTTTCACAGAATGTCGTTCTGTGCTTTTCTGTATTTTGGAAATCTTTACTGAAAAAAGAGACCCAGTCAGTTGAATTTTTCAGGCCAGCATAATACCATTTCTTTATGTCCTCTCTAATTTTAGATTTAAGTCTTATCTAGTTGGCCACAATATTATTATTTTGAAAAACTTGGACCTGAACTAATAGGAGCTGAAAGTTATTACTTCAAGCGCCAACCAAAGATTTGAAATTGATACACCCATTGATTGGTTGAATCTGGGAGGCGGAGGTTGTAACGAGCTGAGATTGCATCACTGCACTCTAGCCTGGGTGATACAGTGAAACTCTGCCTCAAAAAAAAAAAAAAAAAAAAAGAAAAGAAAACAAAATAACAGAGACGTGATTGAGGAATATAAATCTCAGTCATCCAATTTCCGCAGACTGGGATCCATTGCAAAGATCTCTTCTTGCTAACTTGTTCACTCATTCATTCATTTATTTCAGACAGAGTCTCACTCTGTTGCCCAGGATGGAGTGCAGTGGTGCAATCTCGGCTCACTGCAACCTCTGCCTCCTGGGTTCAAGTGATTCTCCTGTCTCAGCCTTCCAAGTAGCTGGGATTACAGGCATGCGCCACAACATCCAGCTAATTTATTTTTGTATTTTCAATAGAGATGGGGTTTTGCCATGCTGGCCAGGCTGGTCTCAAACTCCTGACCTCAAGTGATCTGCCCACTTCGGCCTCCCAAGGTGCTGGGATTACAGGTGTGAGCCACCGGGCCTGGCCTCATTCTTATCTTTCTTTAAATTAGGAGACACATGAAGATTTAAACTCCAGGATTAAAAGCCCCTGCTGGAGTAAGCCACAACTTCATGAAACATGCCTGAGAAGCAGGGCTCTACTCTGGCAGGAGGGCACATGGCTAAATGCCTGGGGTTTGGAGTCAGAGAGGCTCAGATGATGCATATGAAGTAAAAATGCACCTAGTGCTCTATGGCCTCTGGTATGGAGCAAGCACTCTATAAATATGCCTTACCATCAACTCACAGCCAAACCACAGAAGACCTAGGCCAGGGGCCTCCCAGGACCTAGCCCTCTTGCCTTTTTCTAAGTTAGAAGGCATCAGTGGGCTCTGAAACTAGAAACTTCAGGGGCACACAGGATTTTATCATCAGCGACTGCGCCATGAGGGCTGGCTTTCACACCAGCACATTACAAGTAGTCTCTGGATTCTCTAACTCAGTTTTTATGCCCTTTCTCTATTTTCTGTTTAGTTTGTTTACTTTATCTAGACTGCGTATCTCAACCACGGCTGCACTTTCCAAACACTTGAGGACCTTTGCAAAATTCTGATGTTCTGGCCTCACCTCGACCAACGAGTCAGAATTTCTGGAGGCAGGATCCAGTTTCCCAGGTGATTCCAGTGTATAGCCTGGGCTGAGAAACACTGATGCAACATTAACAGACTGTTTTTCAAAGTCTAACTGAGTCAAATGAAAAAAGCGCTGTTCTAACACTGATACTTCCTACACCCTAGGCTTTCAGAATGAAAGGATAAGGCGTTTCAAATCAAGGAACATGTCTCCCAGAGGCCAGGCTTGTGCGAGGTGTTGGGATTCAAGGTTGGCCAAGGAGACGTGAAGCCTGCCTTCAAGGAGCTCACATTTAGCAATTTTGGTAAGCCGAGATGGGTAGGACCGAGCTTGCATTTACAGCTGAGCCACAGAATGACAGGGCATTGCAGAATGTGATGATGGGAATTCGCTATCACAAAACCAATCACTAGCGTATATTTTGGTATCTCCTCTGTGCTGGCACTTTCAGTTTATCAGGTCATGGGAGCTTCACCACAACCACAGGAGGGAGATTTTCCTACTATTTCCATTCCTTCCTTCAATAAACGTTTGGATGCCTCCTGTGGGCCAGACACCATTTCAGACATTTGGACGGTAACAGAACAGACTCCTGTCCTTATGGCGCAAGTGTTTTGTGAGTCAGGGTGGAGAGGAAAGAAACAACAGGCACGTCTTTAAACGTCAATCAGATAGCACGTTAGAAATTGATGAGCGCCATGAGAAAAAGGAAAAGTGGAGGGGGTAAGGTATGTGTGGAGACTCAGGGAGCCTCAGCGAGAAGAAGGATTTGAGCAAAGACTTGACATACCGGAGTTAGTTCATTTCATTCCATTTGCAGATTCACCCAACACATACAGGTGGCTTTGCTGGGATGCAAACTCACATAGGTTGAACACCAGCTTCTGTGCCCTTAACCACCCTACTAACTTGTCCATCCATCCTTCTGTCCATCTGTCCTTCCTTCCCCCTTTCTTTCTCCCCTTTCTCCCCTCTTCCTTCCTTTTCTTTTCTTTCTCTCTTTCTCTCTCTCCCCCTCCTTTCCCCTCTCTCTCTGTCTCTTTCTTTCTTTGATGAAGTCTAGCTCTATCACCCTGGCTAGACAAATTGCAGTGGTGTAATCTTGGCTCACTGCAACTTCCACCTCATGGGTTCAAGCGATTCTTCTGTCTCAGCCTCCTGAGTAACTGGGATTACAGGTGTACACCACCACACCTGGCTAATTTTTATATTTTTAGTAGAGATGGGGTTTCACCATATTGTCCAGACTGGTCTTGAACTCCTAACCTCAGGTGATCTGCCCATGTCGGCCTCCCAAAGTGCTGGGATTAAAGGTGTGAGCCACTATGTACCCCCTAAGTTTTCTTTCAAGAAGCATTAATATAATAACTTATTTATTCACTGTCTTGTTTGCTATTATAATTTTCTAGCCTAGTATCTGCTACATACTTGGATTTTTAATTAACTGATTGAAATTATCAATTCAATTGAATTAATATGTCATGATTTGAAGTATGTATTGTGTTTACTGCGTCCAGCCCACTCCCCAGGTAGAAGAAAAGTTATAGAAAATGCAGTGTAGCTGGGGATCCTGGAAACTGAGCAAGTGTGTGTTCTTAGGTGTCCTGTTCACGTCATGTTGCAGAAGAAAAGATGTCACTGCCCTGCCAGGGCAAATAGGTTTCTTCTGAGCCAGGAGGAGGGAGACAGAAAATATGGAATACACGTGAGACACATAAGGAAATAAGGATGCTTCTAAGTAGAAAGCTTCATGGCACAATAGCCCACAAAAATGTATGAGGCTGAGTCAGGGGTTACAGGTAAAGTTTTCTTAGGCTGCATTCATTTGAGAAATTTTTATAATGTTTCTATGTAAGAACGATCTTTTGAATATTAACTTACCTATTGAAGCGGTAGATATCCTGTATGTTTCCAAAAAGGGCTGATCTTTCTTCGGTCCCCATGAGAAGTTTTGTTTGGTCCCTGATGCAGTCAAGGTAATCCTATGAGATCAAAGAGAAGGATGCCTTAAACACTCCCGTCCTTTCCAAGTCATCTTTAATTATGCCTACTGAATCTTTAATATCTTTTTCGAGTCATTATTATGCCAATGTGCTCATTAACTCCGAGAGCACACAGTTGCTCTCTTATTACTGGCCCTAATACTCACCTATTTATAGAATGAAGAGTTTTAGCAAAGAGAAAGCATGTAGCATACATTCCTTGTTTGTTTTTGAGATGGAGTCTCGCTCTGTTGCCTGGTTGGAGTGCAATGGCACAATCTCAGCTCATTGCAACCTCCACCTCCCAGGTTCAAACGATTCTCCTGCCTCAGCCTCCCGAGTAGCTGGGATTTACAGGCTGTGCCACCACACCCAGCTTATTTGAATTTTCAGTAGAGGTGGGGTTTCACCATGTTGGTCAGGCTGGTCTCGAATTCCTGACCTGGTGATCTACCTGCCTCAGCGTCCCAAAGTGCTGGTTAGGCATGAGCCACCACGCCCGGCCTGAGTATGGTACACATTCTATCTACCTCCAAAATATATTAGAGCTTCCCTAGATGGGTGCCACAATGACCACCGTGCCAATTATGTGAGTTTTGGCATAACCACATTGCCTGCTGCTTCCTTGACTGATGTGTATGATAAAAACATACTTTAAAATTCATATAGTGAAAAACCAGAAATAAAAATTCTGAACTGAAAGAACTGTTTTAAACATAACCTCTAGGTCACAAAACTATCTGTTGTTAAATTATAGAACCAAATTCTTTTTTCAAATATCAACTTACTTTTTTTAAGTGAAAAAAATAAGTGTATAACTTACTTTTTTGCTCTCTGCTATGCTGTTAATGAGCCCAAAAACTCTCAATTGATTTTGTATGTTTTAACACAGAAACAGCTCCCACACAAATCTGCTGCGGATTCAGACCCGTAATGGGTTAAACTGATGTGGCTAACAAGCAATTTGAACTGCTGAGAAAGAGGAAGGCCGCTTTCTGCCCCTTGTGTGCTAAAGAGTTCATAACTGAGTGTTCCCTTTTCCCTAGCAAGACTTGAAAAAGGATTCTGTAGGAGGCAAGAAAACAATAAAGAAAAAAGTGAAAACAGCTGAAATAACGTAAAATAAAAAATAAATACAGTCCTTGCCCGAGGCTGAACAATGAAGTATGGCTCCCTCCCAAACGTAACATGGTGATCTGCAGCATTTAGAGGAAGTAACCTTGTGAAAAGTCAACCAGACCATGAAAATCCCAGCACACAGCCGCATTCCAATGTCCCACAGCAAACACAGTCGTATTTAGATGCGGCTAGAGAAAGGAGAAGCTAAAATGTCAGAACCATCAGCTAATTGTTTCTTACACCTTCTAGTAGTCCACCTTCATTCTCTCATGTTCTTTAGGTTCCTCCAATGCAAAACAGGCAGGGCTTTCATCGTAAACTTTCTCAAGTAGCACATTTCACAGTTTGCATCAAATCAGGTTTCGTTCTAGTTCTTTCATGCTAAAATCACTGTCACGCATGAACCAATGTTCACAAACCTTTTTCAAAACAAGCTTGTGGTAACAGCTTTTCTTCTTGAGAAAGTAGTCACCTCAATAAGAAACTAGATTCAAAAAGTTTAAGAGTAGTTGGCATTAAAATCCCCAAACGGCTTGGCCTGTTCCCCTTACTGTTATAAATGGAACAATCATAAGAGCTTGAGTACCTGCATAGGATAGACAGGCCCAAATAAGAAAAACAAAAGGAGCCCAGAACTGCAAGAATGGTACACTGTGAACAACACATAAAACCTATACTCCCGCAAAAATAAATAAATATTCATCGAGATTTCTGTTAAATTACACAGGTGCAAAGGGATGGACTGACAACGTGGAGTGAATGCTTGTATTTAACAGCAGCTTAAGAGTTTGCTGGACATTTTGGCATACTGTATACAAAATTAAGAAGGTGAAACAGGAGGATGTGGACGGGCACTAGCCACACCAATGTGGCAGGATGAGGGGCAGGCAGAGGTGACAGACGCAAGCCACAACATTTACCTGGCTGACTTCAGAGGCTCCGCAGTGGGGCTTAAAGGGAGAATGAACAACCCTTTCTCTCACTTCAAGTGTGAAGCTTGCTCATTTGCAGAAACTTGATACTAAATTCTTCATGTGAAAGAAAGATTGAGTTAAGGGGCTTAAAGAATTTCATCTGGGGTTAGAGACAAAGAACCATGGCCTGCATCCAACAACTGATGGCCCCTCTCCAGTTCTAAGAGTTTCAAAAATCTCTGACTCTACGGTAGAGAAACTAAATTTTAAAAGTTGCTTGTTTTCAGAAATTATTGAGAAAACAGATCGTGAGGAGTCCACATTTTTGTAGGCCACTCTAGAAAACAGATCAAAGTTGTATGGTCATAACTTGCTCCCCCCACTGATCAGAAGAAAGTCTTTTAAATTTGATACTTTAAACCTAGACTATTTCCTGAAAACTACTGTGGCATGCCCTGCATTTGCAGCTGTAATCATCTGCAGCCAAAATGAGTGGTTCGAAGCTCAGTGATAATAACAGTTCATTCTGTGCTATAAATGACAGAGTAAGGACACCAACAAAATTTATTAGAGCCTGTCATGCTGCTTATTAATTTTATTGGCTTTTATGTAAACACCTGTGGTTACCCTACTGTTAACGGCTATGAAGCATCAATTTAAAACTTTTGCACTGAGGCCAGGCGCAGTGGCTCACATCTGTAATCCCAGCACTTTGGGAGGCCAAGGCGGATGGATCATGAGGTCAGGAGTTCAAGAGCAGGCTGGCCAACATGGTGAAACTCCGTTACCTACTAAAAAATACAAAATTATCTGGGCATTGGTGGCTCGTGCCTGTAATCCCAGCTACTTGGGAGGCTGAGGTGGGAGAATTGCTTGAACCAGGACCCAGGAGGTGGAGGTTGCAGTAAGCCGAGATCACGCCACTGCACTACAGCCTGGTCTACAGTGTGAGAGAGACTCCATTTCAAAAAACAAAAACAAAAACAAAAACAAAACACTTTTGCACTGAAAACAATTACTCTCCAAGAGGATCAATGAATTTACTCTACTTTGGTGAGGGAAGGAGCAGAGAGTTAACACACAAAGGGGCTTTTCACCATTTGAATGATTTTCTGTGATTTAAAATTTCCCCCATTTATTTTCTCATCAGTTTATGTCCTTAAGATCTCTACCATTGTAAGATTTGCACACGAGGGTCCTCCTCTAACTTCTTCATTCCTTGTAATGTCTGTTATTGAAATATCCAAGCAGATATTGAATCTGAGTTAGTCCTATTCAAAGTATGGGAGGTGGGCAGGAGCCGATTTGCAAACTGTTTGCTGCTGATCTACACGGAGAGAAGTACAGACATCAGGTGAGCACGTAGAACTCTTTACAGTAGTTTACTGAATGATTTAATATCTGTTGAACCTAATAATAAATTTGTGCTTGTATTTTATATATCTTACTCTTCCTCTAATTTTTCCAGTATTCGTTTTATAAAGTGTATTTTACAAAAGAATTGGGAGTGACAGACGGAAAGAAAACACACACACCTGCCCCTCACCATGGACAGTTTGCAAAGCTCTGATCTACATAACCATCCAGAAGCGACATGCTGTAGAAAGAACTGAGACAGAAGGCAAATTCAGCGCCGTTGGGAGCTTACCTTATTTCTGAGATCCCAGAAATACTTTAGTTAATGGCTCCTTCACTTCCCTTTTTCCTCTGATATCACATTAAAATGCTTTTTTGCTTGTTTGTTTTTTGAGAGTAAGTCTTGCTCTGTCACCCCGGCTGGAGGGCAGTGGCACAATCTCGGCTCACTACAACCTCCAACTCCCAAGTTCAAGCAATTCTCCTGCCTCAGCCTCCCAAGTAGCTGGGATTACAGGTGTGTGCCACCATGCCCAGTTTATTTTTGTATTTTTAATAGTGATGGGGTTTCACCATGTTGGCCAGCCTGGTCTCCAACTCCTGACCTGGTGATCCACCCACCTCGGCCTCCCAAAGTGCTGGGATTACAAGGGTGAGCCACCATGCCTGGACAAAATTTTTAAAAATTACAGTCTATTTAACATGATAATGAGGATAAACTATAGTAAGAGATAGTTATTTACAGTTACAATGTCAATCAATACTTCATATTCTTTCTACCTTTTTATTCTTCTCTTATAGATACTCCTGTTGTAGACACAGAATGAAAAAGATTCTGTTTCTAAATCTTTTTGCTCACAGTCAAAAATCCTACCTAGTAGTTTCAGGTTTCAGCCTTTTTGGTCCAGCTTCTGTCGTTAGCACTTCCAAATGCCAAGCCCCTAACATACTCTTAAGATTTTTTGTTTTGTTTTTATTTTGGAGAAATATCTTTTTTTTTTTTTTTTTTTTTTTTTGGAAAAGTATATTTTTTTTTTTTTTTTTTTTTTTTGAGACAGCCTCGCTTTTTTGCCTAGGCTGGAGTACAGTAGCATGATCTCAGCTCACTGCAAACTCCACCTTCTGGGTTCAAACAATTCTCCTGCCTCAGCCTCCCTGAGTAGCTGGGATCACAGGCTTGCGCCATCATACCCGGCTAATTTTTATATTCTTAGTGGAGACAGGGTTTCACCATGTCGGATAGGCTGGTCTTGAACTCCTGAACTCAGGTGATCCACCTGCTTCGGCCTCCCAAAGTGCTGGAATTACAGGCATGAGCCACTGTGTCTGGCCCTGGGAAACAATATTTTTTCATTTCTTTAACTTCTCTACCTTTTCTAGAAAGTAGTCTGTTTATCCAAAAACTTGCCTTCCAAATTTATGTATTACATTGGGATGCCTCTGAAGCTAGAAAAACTTACATGTGTATAGTAATTTACAGTTTAAAAGCACATTAACATTCATTTATACAAACCTTCCTCCCATCTTTTTATTTTGAGGATGTAAGAATGTGTGCCAGGTGCTGTTTTACAAGCTAGGAATTAAAAAAAAATGAATAAAACACGATCCCTT